GGGAAACCCACTGCAGCTTTCGAGCAGGAGGCTGATGGGGAGCCCACTATTCTGAGCAAATGAGACACTGCTCAAGAACGCTGATGTGAACTTTTACCTTCATTAACACAGGGAAGGTTGTGCCATCAGTCATTCCCTTCTTCCTTCTCTACATGGCCTCACCTCTTTAGCTATTTCCTTTGACTTGCAACATCGATAGGGCTTCTGTGCAGCCATCAGCCACCCTGACTCAGCTAAAGTTAAAAACAGGTTTAACCAGGTACCCCTTTCCCACCCCACCCCATCTAGTGCCACTTGTCCCAGTTTGCACCACATCCCGAAGGCCCCATAGTCCAGTCTCTCAGCGGGTGTCACTCCAGATGACTCTGGTCCAACCCTCTGGTTGTTGGTAGAAATTGCCTGAATTGCAGCTGAAATTTTCTCCCAAAGCCTGAGGTCACCTCTAGGAAATCCTATCTCCTCTTTTCTTATCTGAGACGGGGACTGACTCCTTCTTTACCCTTCTCTTTCCCCTTTCTTGGCTCTGAACTATGACCTCTGCTGTCCAACTCTTCTGCTCTTTTCTGCCGCTCATAAGGTGGGGCTTCTCTCCCCAGAGTCCTTTTGAAACTGGGATTCATCTTCAGTACCTCTTCAGGGCTGGGTACCACCTCTGCTCGCCACAGGCCCATCTGCAACCATCTCTTTTTTTTTTTTTTTTTGAGACGGAGTCTCGCTCTGTCGCCCAGGTTGGAGTGCTGTGGCCGGATCTCAGCTCACTGCAAGCTCCACCTCCCGGGTTCACACCATTCTCCTGCCTCAGCCTCCCGAGTAGCTACGACTACAGGGAGAACCCTCACTAATGGTGACTTTGGAGAACCCTCACTAATGGTGTTAAATGCTACAAAATGGTTGAAGAAGTTGCAGATTTTTGAGAAGGGTATTATATTTGGCAACTACGAGGAAGAGATCCACCACGCCCGGCTAATATTTTTTTTGTATTTTTAGTAGAGACGGGGTTTCACCTTGTTAGCCAGGATGGTCTCGATCTCCTGACCTCGTGATCCACCCGCCTTGGCCTCCCAAAGTGCTGGGATTACAGGTGTGAACCATCTCTTTGCTGATGCGTTTGAGTTATCATAGCAACAGCCCAGGATGCCCACACCCTTTAACACCACAGGGGCAGGATTAGGCCATTTTTCCCACCAACTAAAGAAAGCTTGGATAAAAATGAGGGTCATGCCGGGCGCGGTGGCTCAAGCCTGTAATCCCAGCACTTTGGGAGGCCGAGACGGGCGGATCACGACGTCAGGAGATCAAGACCATCCTGGCTAACGTGGTGAAACCCCGTCTCTACTAAAAAATACAAAAAAAAACTAGCCGGGCGCAGTGGCGGGTGCCTGTAGTCCCAGCTACTCGGGAGGCTGAGGCAGGAGAATGGCATAAACCCGGGAGGCGGAGCTTGCAGTGAGCTGAGATCCGGCCACTGCACTCCAGCCTGGGCGACAGAGCGAGACTCCATCTCAAAAAAAAAAAAAAAAAAAAAACAAAAAAAAAAAACGAGGGTCATTTTTTGTTATTATTTTTTTTTAAAATGATGTAAGTTCTAATTTTATTTATTTTTTTCTTTTTGATATGTCATAGTTGTATATATTTAGGGATATATGTGATATTTTGAGGCATGTATGCAATGTGTAATGGCCAGACCAGGGTAACTGGGACATCCATCACCTCAAACATTTATGTTTTCTTTGTGTTGGGAACACTCCAATTTTTCTCTTTCAGCTATTTTTGAAATACACAATTAATTGTTGTTAACTCTAATTTCCCTACTGTAGTATCAAATACCTGTTCCTTCTATTTAGCTGTATTTCTGTACCCCTTAACCAACTTCTCTCCCTCTCCCCACCCACCTTCCTTCCCGGCCTCTGGTAACCACCATTCCGTGCTCTACCTCCATGAGGTCTGTTTGTGTAGCTCCCTTACGTGAGTGAAATCATGCAGCATTTGTCTTTCTATACCTGGCTAATTTCACTTAACATAATGACCTCCAGTTCCAGCCATGTTGTTGCAAATGACGGGGTTTCATTCTTCTTTATGGCTGAATAGTATTCCATTGTGTACACGTGCCACATTTTCTTTATCCATTCATCTGCTGATGGACACTTAGGTGGATTCCATATCTTGGCTATTCTGAATAGTGCTGCAATAAACATGGCAGTGTGCAGACGTCTCTTGGATATGCTGATTTCCTTTCCTTTGGGTGTGTACCCAGCAGTGGTTGCTGGATCATTCAGTAGTCTATTTTTAGTGTTTTGAAGAACCTCCATACTGTTTTCCACAATGGCTGTACTACTTTACATTCCCACACTTTTTGTACTTTCGGTCAACAAATATTTGAGCACCCTCTGACAGGCAGTGTGGTGGACCGTGTCTTAGCACACAGGCATTGGGTTTAGCCTGCCTAGGTTCATATTCCAAGGTCCCCACTTACTAGCTCCATGGTGCTAAGGACATTATTTACCCTCTCCATACCTCAGTTTCCTCATCTGAAAAATGAAGGCAATAATACTGCTTACTTCATAGAGCGGACATGAAGATTAAATAAGTTAGCATACAGGTAACCTCCAAGGTAAATAAGTTAGCATACAGGTAACCTCCATGGTGAGTATCTCCCTGGTGTTTACAAAACACTCTCCTGATCCATGCCCTGGTCCTGGGAGAGTCAGATCATGCGGCAAACTCGGAATCCAGATACAGGTAACAGGAGCACATGACTGTCACCAGGCAGGCAATGCCCTCTCTAAACCTCAGTCTCCTCATCTGTAAAATGGGCAGCACAATCCCTGGGATACCTCCCTCAGGTGAGGTGTCGTGAAGTTCTGCTGAGATCATGAAGAGAAGGGACTTTGCAATCTGTAAACTTGCCATGGCAAAATGGAGATTAGAGAAAACACAGCATCACCCTTGCTGATCTGATGGGATCTACAGACAGGGGCGGCTGTCCTTGTCCTCTTCTCTACTCCAGGCTTAGGAGACACTTTCTCTTCCCCTTGGGTCTCACCTACTTCACTTCAGCATTAAATAGGGCTTGGGGATGGGGAGATGGTGCCGACTGTGGCATCAGGAGAGACCAGGCTGGCCTGTGCCACTTTGTGGTCCCGTTTCTCCCAGAACTTTTCTTCTTATAACATTCATCCCACTTCTGCACTGCTACTTGTTTCATTACCGGCCTTCCTAACCAGACTGGCCATGTGACATGTTCCTCACACTTCCGGAGCTTGGGGCAGAGGCTGGACCCTTGTAGTGAAACCGATTTGATATGGTCTGGCTGCCCTGTTTGCTTTTGGTTACTTGCTTTTTGTTTTTTTGGTGTTTTCTTTTTTCTTTTTTTCCTTTTTTCATGAAGCTGAAGGCTACACCACTGAACACTGAAACTTAAAATTTAACCTTCATTCGCTACTTGATAGGTAACATTCATAGGTCACCTTGGTAATGATCTCTTCAGTTGTTTTTTAGGAACTTGGACCAGCTCCTGTCCAGCTCAAACTGGTGAGACCATTGGCCCTTCAACTGGGCAAGTGCCCCAAGAGGTGGCCTTTCAATGTCAGAGAGCCAAAAAACTCCACCCGTGGATCATGGTAACCCTACCATTTTCTGCATACATGTCCTATGAAATACCATGAGCTCAGACTACACTGGCATGGAATGAACCTGTTTCTTCATTTGTCCCCACTGCCAATCGCCTTTCCCCATGGCTTAGACCACTCTACTTCCCTAACCCTTAAATATCCTTAAGTCTTACCTTCTGGGAGGTGGATTTCAGAGCTGTTCTCCTACCTCCTCTCTTGGTGCCCTTGCCAAAGAGTCTTTTCTCTTTTCTAAAATCCATGTCACCTGATTGATTTCCTGCAGAGGCAGCTTATGGGGTGGGCAGAGCAGACCTAGACCTGGCCGGCAGCTGGGAGCTCAGTAAATGTTTGTTCAATCAATGAAAAACGACACGTGAGAATCCAGAGGGGCACATATGACCAGTCTCAATTTCCTGCCTGCAGTCACTTTCCTTGGGTGTCACTGATTACCCCAGAGGCCCCTCCACCAACAAAATCACAGAATTTGATGGCCAGGTGCAGTGGCTCAGGCCTATAATCCCAGCACTTTGTGAGGCTGAGGTGGGTGGGCCACCTGAGGTCAGGAGTTCCAGACCAGCCTGCCCAACGTTTTTAGTCTCTACTAAAAATACAAAAAAAAAAAAAAAAATTAACCAGACGGGGTGGTGCATGCCTGTAATCCCAGCTACTCGGGAGGCTGAGGCAGGAGAATCACTTGAACCCAGGAGGGGGAGGTTGCAGTGAGCCCAGATTGAGCCACTGCACTCCAGCCTGGACGGCTAGAGCCTCAAAAAAATAAAAATGAAAAATAAATCACAGAATGTGGCGCACTCGAGTTCCAGTTCTCTCATGTAGAAAGCAGAAGCTTGGAGATGTGAACTGGATGCCCAAAGTCACTCAGCTAGACAGGGGCAGAGCCAGGGTGCTCAGAGGGTGGCCAACCTTCCACGTCTGCCCTGGACACGCCACTTTCAGCACTAAAATGTGCGGTCCCAGACGTCCTTCTCCCAGGTCCTCTACAGCATAGATGGGTGAGGAAAAACGTGCAGGGCTAAAATCTGGGGTCCCCACCCCTGCCCCAGCCACGTGGCGGTCCCGATTGTGAAACTGACTAAGATCAAAGAGCTCTCCCAGTGAGTCCCCCATTGCAGCCACAGCGCGGGCAGGGAAGACGCAGCGGGACCCTGGTTCGAGGCCGGGCTCTGGGACTGCGGGGGCGCATGGGCGAGGCGGGGCGGGGCGGGGTGCAGGGGGTGCCCGTGGCTGCACAAAGAGGCCGGCCGCGGCAGTTTTGAAAATACCAAGGAAGTTGATCTGGGCCAGGGCCCAAGAAGTGACGAGGAGGGAGGGAGGCTTGCGAGTGAGCGAGGGAGGGAAGGAGGGAGAGGGAGAGGAGCAGGCGGGAGGGAGGAAGGGAGGACGCGCGGGGCGAGGGGCGGCGGCAGACCTCGCGGGGCCCCAGCGGGAAGCGCGGGCGGCGGCGGGATGAGCGCTCTGGGCGGCGGGGCGCGGCGCTAGGCGCCCGGCGGGGCGTCCCCAGGCTGCGACCCCGCGGGACCCTCCACTCCGCCCGCCGCCTCCGCAGCCCGCGCGCCGGAGCATGAGTCCGGGCGGGAGCCCCACGGCCGCGGGCGGCGCCTAGGACGGCGATCCGCGCCCTGGAGAACCCGCCGGCCGCCCGGCTCCACTACAGCTCCAGCCGCCTGCAGCGGGGCCCTCCTGAGGCCCCGAAGGAAGGGACCATGAAAGGTAAGCGCGGCCGGTGGGGGGCAGCTCCGAGGGGGGCCGCCTGCACCCCCGCTCCACCCAGGGCCTGGGGGCGCCTTTTTTGCAGTCGAGGCTGAGAGGAGGGCAGGGCGCCTCTGGCTTTTCCCCTGCCTTTTTGGGCATCCTGAGAGACAGGACGGATCCCTGAAGACCGGAGGAAGCAAAGAGGAGAGGGGGGATGGGGACACTCACACACGCCCCTTGCAGTCCTGTTCTCATCGGCCGTTGCTCTAACCTCACAAATAATTTTAAAGTCCAGAGAAGTTTCTGATCCCTTTAACCAGTAGGCGCAGAAAGGTATCACTAACCCAAATTTCCAGCAGTGTAAATTTCGACCCTGGGGACCCATCAGAGAGGCCCCTGCAGCACCCCCTCCCCCCACGCCCCGCCACCGAGCCCTTCAACCGGGGCCGGGCTTAGGATTCTCCCCTAGGACCTCCAGCCCTTCCCCAAAAGAGACCTGCAGTGTCAGAGCCCCTCAGCCCAGGCCCTGCCCTTCCCAACCCCTGAACCTTGCCTGACCCACCCTCTGACCTCCTTGTGAGGAAGCCGCTGGGGAAGCCTCATGGGCCAGGACTGAGCTCTCGCCAGGGTGGTGAGCCAGCACCAGGGTGGCCCTTGCAGCCAGTTCTTGGGATGGAAATAAGAACCAGACATGATCCCAAGTGGCCATTTCCAGGGCCTGGGTGTCTTTAGGCCCCTACTTGGTCTTCAAGGTCATTTTGAGGCTAGTGGAGAAGCAGGCTTTGGAGTTATGAGGTAGGGAACCTTTGAGGTTTTTAATGCCATTCCGGGTGTCTTTCAGTAATCCTCCTGTAACACCCCCGGCAGATGCTTGTGTTCCTAGCAGTGAGAACCTCACCACCTCATCCACTTATGGAAAGTAGAAACTGAAAAGGGCCTTTGAGATCATCTACAGGGCTTTCAGCCACACTCTCAGGTGCCACTGACAGGTATGGAGGTGGAAGAGGTGGGGTCAGAGCTCTCAGCCTACTTCAACCAGAGCAGCTGTTTGTCTCTTACATGTAGAAAGGCCTGAGGGTTCCTTGGAAGAAAGGGCTCCACCGACAAATTTCTGACCAGATGCAGCCTCCACATTGCATAGTTAGGGAAACTGAGGCCCAAGCAGGTAGGGTTGGCTTCATGGATTCGGCAACCAGTGCCATCCTACAAGGTCCCACACTTCGTTTAATGCTCTGCAGGTGCTATCTTGAACTTTTTAAAAATGTATTTTATTTGATTTTATTTTAGCGACAGGGCCTCACTCTGTTGCCCAGGCTGGAGTGCAGTGGCATGATCATAGCTCACTATAGCCTCAAACTTCTGGGCTTAAGTGATCCTCCCACCTCAGCCTCTCATGCAGCTGGGACTACAGGTGTGCACCACCATGCCTGGATTTTTTTTTTTTTTTTTTTTTTTGGTAGAGACGGGGCCTTATTATGTTGCCCAGGTTGGTCTAAAACTTCTGGCCTCAAATGATCCTACCACCTCGGCCTCCTAAAGTGCTGGGATTACAGACTTGATACACCATGCGGCCTGAACTTCTTACAATTTTTTAACAAGTCATCCCGTCCCACCAACACACAAACGCACACACTTGCATTTGACGCTGGGCCCCACAAATTGTGTAGCTGGTCCTGTAGACAGAAGTGAGTTGTTATGAATCACAGTTGGTCGGGTGACTAGAGCCCAGGACTCCTGACTTCTAGTCTAGAATCCACCCTGCCTCTCTGTGGTTTCCTTCCCTCTGCTTCTGGCACCTTTCTGTGCTTCCCGCTGGCCTCCCCAAGTCCTAGGCTGTGCGGGATGAGCCAAGCAAGTTATAATCAGCCCTAGGGAGCACCTGGCAGGCAGCGAGGGGAGCCTCGCCCCAAGTCCTGCTCCTCACTGAGACACCTTTGCAGCTGAACCCTCTGCAGTCAGCTGGCCCAGGGCAGACCATTACTGGAAGCCTCCAGAAAGGTCTTGGACCACATCTTACAAGGGGTCACACTGCCCTGAACCTTGATGATGGTGGTAAGATGTTTCACATTCTCAGAGTGGCTCCACCCCAATTCCAGACAAGCACTATAAGAGAACCAGCTGGGCATGGTGACAGATACCTGTAATCCCAGCTACTCCGGAGCCTGAGGAGGGAGGATCACTTGAGCCTGGGAGTTTGAAGTATAATGAGCCATGATTGCACCACTGCATTCCAGCCTGGGCAACAGAGTGAGACCCTGTCTGTAAAAAAATAAAATTTATTAAAAAAAAAAAAGAAGAAGAAGCAGGGCCAAAATCCTGTGACATAGAGAAGAAAAGAGCTGGTGTGAATGAATATTTAAAAGAAGGTGCCTGAGGAGGACCCGCTGACACCACGTTGCGGAGTTCCAGGCTGTCCTTGTGCTGTGGGTTCCTATACAGGAAGCCAAGCCCTGCCTCTCTCCTCCTTTTCCTTGGATCCCACAGCCTCTTCATGTGCGGGGCGGGATTCCTGTCTACGGAGGCCCTGAGGGCAGCGCTGGTGTGTTTTTCCTCCAGCCTCCGGAAACCCCTCAGTGATCTCCCCTAACATCGCAGGGGCTGCCCAGGCTGCAGGACTGGGGACTGACTTCCAGCAATTCCCTCCCTGGCAGCCGGGAAGAGCCGCCGCCTCTACCTGAGATGGAAACGGCAGGGCAGACAGCAAATATTTGTCTTTTGGGATCTGTGGGGTGTAAAGAACCAACACTTTTCTCGCCCGAGTGGAAAAAGTAAAGTGCCTGGCAGAGCAGGGCAGGCAGCCCCTTCCAGAGAGCCCTTTCCATGCTCCTCCAAAGGCCACATCAATCTTTGAATTACATCTGTTGGCAAAGGATCATGCCCTGCTCACAATAAACACGTGATGTGATGTGATGTGATGTGATGTGATGTGATGTGATGTGATGTCGTATGGAGAACAGGTGATGGTGGGGATGGTGATTAAGAAAACATGCTCGTTGGGCTGCCCAGCCCAGCAGTGGCCGAGCGCCAGGGCCCACTCTGCCAGCCAAGCCATTTCCACCTCCAGGCCCCTCCTGCCCCATGGCCAGCTGACTGCACCTCCCAGGCCACCACCTCTTTTGATCCAAGCTGGCACCTGGCCCTTCTCGCACGTGGCCCTAAGGAGACACTCAGGTGCCACCAGCCCCTTGGTGACAGGCCCACCTTGGAGTTTCCCACTGGCTTGTCCAAGCCACTAGCAGCCACCTGTGGAGTTGTTTCCACACCTCCAGTGAGAAGGACCCGTGCCCAAGATGCCCAAGACACAGGCTGGTGCATTGTGAAGACTGATTTAAGAGACAAAAACATGTCTAGTCCTGGCACCATCATCTGCCCTCTTCAGCCCCGTTGTCCTCCTGGGTGGTCCCTGAGGCCCAAGAGCTCTGCGCCTGAGCACCACTTGGGGAGTGGAAGTGACTCAGTGGTGAGATGGCTGGAAGCGGGCCCACCATGTGGCCCCTTTGCCCCGAGAGACTTGTGCTTGGCTGCGGTGGCCAGGGCAGGGGGCAGCCCTGTGTTCCTCAGGCGTGGGAGGAACAGCCCCTCCCTGCAGAATCAGAGAGCAGTGCCCACTTCATGTGGGCAAAGGCTGGAGGTGGGGAGAGGAGGGGCTGTGAAAATACAGTGAAGCAATCCCGGGAGGAATCCACCCTGCACCGCTCCTCTGGCAGAGAGGAGAGGATCTCCACTCACGAGCGGCCAGGCTGGGGGTCCCAGAAAGTCTGACCTCCTTCCCCAGGGGCACCGGAAGGAGCCAGAGCTAGAAGAAAAGGAACTGATGTGGTGAAGGTGAAAAGAGCCACCAGACGGCCTGACTGAGGGGTCCAGGGAGCCCCGCAGCTCAGATGTTGGAGTTTAGCTCGAAACCCTTAAACATCCGCCCCACCCCCAGCCCCGGCCAAAACAGTCATCTTGCCCTCCAGCTGGGGGTAAGCCTGATAACTGAAGACTCAGGTCCCAAGGCTCATTTGAGAGCGAGGAAAAAGCATTCTGTTTCTCAGTAGGCTAGGTTGATGGATAGCTTGGCAGTTTCCATGAAGGACAGGCAGCTGTTCTGGGTGTTAGAATTGGTGCACAGTGTGGCCTAGCTGGGCATGCCTCTCATACATGCACTGCCAATGTTTGATCATGTTTCATTTAGTGATATGTGTGTGTGTGTGTGTGTGTGCGCGCTTGTGTAGAGTACTGAGTCCCAGGGTCAGGCCCAGCCCTGTCGCAGGCCAACTTTATCACTGGGATGAAGTCCATGGTACTCCCTGGGGTCAGTCCCCTCATCCAGGTGGACCAGATGATCCCACAGGATGGTATCAGAGTGTAAGTTTCATGAGAGTGGGGTCTCTGTCTGTTCCTAGCACTTAGGGGTGTCCACTACATCTGTTCAGTGTGCACATCTATACTGTACCATGGTATCCTCAGAACCTCACACAGGCATTCCGTAAAGATGCAGAAAGATGCCTGTATTCAACAAACATCCATGGGGCGACTGCCAGGTGCCAGGGTCTGTACGTCTATATATGTCTAAGGACTGAGGAAGCTACAAAGAGCTCAGATGCTGTCCCTTCTCTCAAGGAGCTTACTCTTTACTAGGACACGTAGGATTTGTGTGCAAGTCACTTAAAAAAACACTAACAGTGATAAGTGTCTTAAGGGAGGCCCCAGCGAGAGAGTTTGGGGGTGGGCTGGACTCGTTTCCTGGCTTTCCTTCTTTGCTGCTGTTCTTCGAGATGCGTCCTCGGTTTCAGCCCCAGACAGGCTCCTGGTTCTTGCTGGCACCCGTTCCCTGAACAATCTCTCCCAGCCTTGAAGATGTGACACGTGGAAGTCGGCAAATCTGATGGCACCAGATTCGCTTCTCTGGGCTTCATAGCCGTATTTCCATCAGTGTCCTGAACGTCTCCAAGTAGAGACCTGCAGGCACCTTCTTCATGGTTCAGATGAGATACCTTCCCTCCACCTGAACCCAAGCTAAAAAATGGGTTATT